TGATTTCATCATCATCACTGTCAGCTGCAATAACAGCGTACTCGTCGTACAGTGGTTGTAGCTGTCGAAGTTTCGTTCACCGATGATTCGGGGAGGTGGGGTAGGTAGCTGCGCATTGCAGGCGGGAGCTGATAAATTGGTGCATAAATACAGCACTGCAGGTGGACTGTTAAGTGGGGGGATTGGGAAGGGAGCTATGCATTGAAGGCAATAGCTTGGATGCACGAGGGCCAATGAGGGCGCGACTGGGCCATGTCTGATAATGTCTCTAGCCATTGATTTGGCCCGTCTCGGGTCCCCATCCAGGAGGACGGAAATGACCAGCGCAGCTGAGTTTTCTGGTAATCACTTTCACACTTCACTGCCAAGTCACTGTTTGACCGCCTTTGGCGAAGTGAAATCAACCAATTGAGTTAGGAGGCCAAATTTCAATCGACTGTCGTGCATTTGATTGATTCTATTTGAAAAAAATTTCAGCTCGAATTCCGAGACTCAGTAAATTACTCCAAATTGACGTGGATTCAATAACCTCCTGTCGCCGAGCGATATCCGTCAGTTTTTGAAAAACTAACCGGAGTGAAACCCAAGACGTGTAACGTTTCGAAATTCACTTTGCAGTTCTTTACTACTGATACAGTGAAACCTGTGCATTTCCCCGCCGAACACTACGCATCAGATTTCTGAAAATTCTCCGCCCGAAGAAGGATGAAAACGATCGTGGGCTGCCAAAGAGTAGTAGTATATCACGTCTATACATGAATCACGATATCTTAAATATCGTAAAAACTGAAACATAAGGCGGCCCTGTGCAACACATGCAGTTGCTTGAAAGTATATTGGACAAGAGATTCAACTGTTTTCCGGGTGAGTCTCCTTCAAAACCAAATTGGCAGGCAAGTGAGTGTACTTCGCTAATTTCGTGCAATTTGCTTTCAAGTGGAACGTAAAAATTTACGGAAATTCGGAGACCGCGCCTGCCTGATGAACCCGGAGTGGAAGGGCGAAACCGGCCGTGGGCTGTCAGCGGCCTTGTGAGTAGTTTACTATGCAAAATATTAAACTGTACACTACATGGATAAAGGAGCCAGTGGTGTGTGCACGTTCGTACTGGTTGCCGTCCACCTCAGACCCAGCAAATGTAGTTAAACCATTCAGTGACAGTAACAAGTCAACCAACTCTATTAGGTGTTCGGATTTCCCAGCAAATCCAGTTAGTTGCACACAGAAACGCTCGGTCTCGACATCACATAATGACTTGCGTACAACCGGGCTTCCGTAGCCTTTCAGTCAACATGTGGCGACATTAAAGGGGTAATGTTGTCAGCTGATAACTCACTGATTGATTGATTAATTCCCATGACTATCATGGATATCAGAGTAGTCAGCAAAAGAACTCACAGGCCCTAACAGATGCTTATCACAACCAAACCAAACGTTAGTGTATCATCATTATCATCGACAGCATGACAGCAGTGTTCAACACCGATGCTTCACTGCCATACAACCATGATTTATTCGAAAGCCTTGTTGTAAAGAAAAGAATAAAGGTGGATGGGGAAGGGACTTAGGGCTAGCTTACCACAATCATTCCGAGGTACCTACACCTCCAGACATTCGCTCAGGC